CGTAAACCAAAACAAAAACCCAACACAACCCAATCCAACCCAGGCCAGCCCAACCCAACCCCATACCAAAGCCTAACCATCCCAACCCAACCCTACCCTACCAAAGCCAAGCCAACACAAGCCAACCCAAACGACCCAACACAACGTAACCCAACCCAACCCAACCCTACCAAAGCCAAACCAACCCAACCCAACCCTACCAAATCCAAACGAACCCAACCCGACCCTATACCCGACCCGATTCAACCCATCCAAACCCAACCCAACCCAACCCGACCCGCCCGACCCGACTTAACCCAACACAACCCTACCAAAGCCAAACCAACCCAACCAAACCCAACCCAACCCAACCCGACCCGCCCGACCCGACTTAACCCAACCCAACCCAACCAAAGCCAAGCCAACTTGACCCGACCCGACCCGACTCATCAACCCAACCCAACCAAAGCCAAGCCAACTCGACCTGACCCGACCCAACCTAACCCAGCCCGCGCAGACCCGACCTAACCCAACCCAACCCAACCCAATAAAACCCAAAACAGAACACAACCCAACAAAAATCCAACAAAACCAAACCAAACCAAACTAAACCCCCCAAAAAACCCAAACACCTCCCCATAAAAAAGCCAAAAAGAGGTTCGTCAAAAATTCGAATAAAAACATAGGAACATAGGAAAATACATGCATAAAAGAAAAAAAAAAAAACAGCAATAACACAACCACACACATCCAAAAGCTAGGCAACACAAGAGACAAAAAAACACCTCAAAACAAACAATACCCTCAGAAACCAGAGCCTACAAAAACTTAACTGCCCGTGAACCTGTTAACGTAAAAATCTTGCATTTCTGCTAAGATAAAAACAAATAAGTCAATACATGAAAAATAGGAAAATTGTATTTCCATATATGTAACAACTGCACAATGTTATTTTGACTGGAGATGGGTGGACGGGCAACAATTGAAGACATCTGATAAGATAAGTACTTAAGAAGCATAAAGTAATCCGGAATTACGGTCTTCTTTGCCCCAGGTGATGTTTTTTTCCTCATTTCAGAGAAACACAAAAGTATAATCCTTTATTTTAATTTGTCAGCTCGGGATCTTAATATAGGACTTTGCGATAGCAATCCTGATTTTAATCGTACATGTAATTTTTTTGTGATATGAATTTTAATAAAACAACATTTTTGTATGTGTGCAAATGTATCTTTGCCTATGAACTGCATAAAAATATGGGCCCATTCTTTTAGGGGTTTAACGTTTAATGTTTTAGAAACATCCATACTACTTTCTGACAGATGATTGCTCTGTATTAAAGGGAAGATACAACATTTGCATATATCAAAAACCGAAATGATCAAATTATCACGAAATACCATACTGAATTGTTAGGGAATGACAGTCTAAAGCCGTGTAAAATCGTGGCTCCTGATGTGCTGACATTTTCAAGAAAAACTGTATTTTTCAACAGCGTTGGAAAAAAACTGGCTTTTTCAAAAACTGCTCCTAGTTTTTCATATTTAGCTATTCCGCATTTTCTTTGCAATTGATTACACACCTGTAAAGGGGTACAAGCCTGCTAGACTGATTCTTTGACCTTACAATTCCCTAAAGTATACACATTGCTCTGTTTCATCTTAAGTGGGGTCAGGGAACCAGACTACAAGAACATGATTGGTTTTCTATGTTTTTCCAGCATCTACAAGCCAAAAACGTGAAACAAGTCAGTTGAACAATACTTGCTATAACATCCTTATCCTCCAAATTCATTTATTTCTGAAAACTGCAGCAAAAGCAAATGTTGTACATTCCCTTTAATGAACATGAATTTCCCTAAACGATTGGCTACCATATACTAAATCAACAACAAAACACAATTAACAAACAACAACTTTTGCATGTTTGTGCTTAAGTAGCAATAACACTGTTTTGTAGATAATAAAAGTGTTGCTTTTTTTAATATCCCTTTGACTGTCTGTCATTTTGGTACTTCGCTCTTGAACAGGCCCGTTAGGCATCCAAACTTGACTTGCCCAATCGTTTCTGTCAGGCATCCGACTTATTCCCGCTCATCACGCGGCTAATTGGGGCGCGGAGTGATATTTCGGAAGCAGCGCAATGATTTATTCACAACTGTGAAATTGACTGGGCAAGGATTGTGTCTCAATTGACAGGGCGTAATGGCTTCAAATACATCGAGTGAACCCGGTCATGTCAGCATCGGAATTGCGACTTGAAGACGTGACAGTCTTCCTGAAATCCGAGCGTGGTTATCGCGAGCAGAATTCGTGAAATTCGACCGAGCAAGTAATATTTCTACGCAGTCACGCGAATGACAAGGGAACCTGAAACAGTAGCTGAGGGCAAACATTGATCGTTACATGTGGCTAGTGTTTTTAATAAGCCTTTTTAGAAATTAACATTTCTCTAATATTAACTTAGTTCTTTAATTAACATTGTTATTTAGAGGTAATTTTAGGCTTCCATTTTCGACTGACAAAAGGTTTAAAGAATAATGTTGTATCCTTAAGGCAGCTTCGTTATGTAAAGCAATCATAATGATACCGATTCCTATATGGTTGTATTACACCAACAGTTATTGTTGAACACAAGAATGCATTTGTTAAAGCTCTAGTCGGGAATCTGTAAAGTTTTAGACAAAACCCATGCAGAACCCATGAAAGTCTTATCAGAACACTTCAGATATTCCAACGCAGGGTCTCGATCTAGATCCCGTTATTGCAATCCCTCCGGCAACCTCTCCAAACTCGAGAGTGGTAACCGAATGAACGCTGTTGAGAACTCGAGTGGTTGAGCAGCCCCGCAGGGTACCCGTTAGATCGTTCTACAACAGTGAAGGGAACCAGCTATAGGCAGTTGACCCAACTCGCTAAGGAGACCTTGCAATTACGTCCGTCTGGTACTCCGTCTAGTCGCTCCACGCTTTATGGCCCATTCGGTTTCACATTTCCAACCTAGATTACCTTTATTTCGGGGACTAAAAATGTATCATCTTTCCGTTGACGTAGCGAATAAGTAGGTTAAGCATATTGGCAGGTTATCCTTATGCGTCCGAGATGTAGAAACTAAACGTGTTCCCTTGCTGCATTTGCATGTATCCCAGAAGTAACCCACCGAATTATTAATAAGCTGATACTTAAATTAAGCATCGTACTGGTACTAACACCCCGTGAATTTATTCCGTCGGATCTGCTGTTACTTCGGCAAAATGTCTGTGTTTCCCCAACGATCAGTCAATGACGAGTGACTAATTTTTGGAATAGGGCTACTAACGAGATCGTATTTCGTAATGAAATGGTGTGCGTGGTTTACTGTTTTCTGGAAAAGTGTAAGATCCACTGACTATAACGTGGAGGTAGAGCACGTAGTATCCAATATGATTGACTGACATTTTATTTATGCAAAAGGAATTGAACGTCACTACTAAAATAGAACTTCGTCTGTACGCACGAGTAAATCCTGTCCAATTATAAACGCTCCATTTCTTATAATTATGTTTGTGGGAGCGGGGCCCAGTATAAAGATTTCAAAGACATCCCTTGCACAGAGCGCACTCGGGAGGGACAGGTCTTTTGCAATTTCATTTCAGTGACAATAAAACGCACTTGTACTCCTGCGTATCGTAGAGGGACACATACCCGTCCCTCAGTGAGGGCGCTCTATGCAAGCGGTCTATATTATGATTCTCTAAAAGAATTCGAATAACAGCTTTCTCTTGTGCGCTGACTGGATTCTCCAATTGATTAGTTGCTTTTATTACCTATCACCATTTCATAAGCTCACATTTTGTATCCAATTAATGCTGTCTACTTAAATTTGAATCTCACAGTAAAAAAAAAATCACCCTAAAACACAGCTTTTTACTCTTACCTCATCCATACAAATTCAATCAACATCTCAGCAGATATTGTTTTTTAAATCAATATACATGTAGATCTTGATCTGCAATTTTTTTTCACTTTTGGTACAGATTCAGATTAATTATCTACATACAAAGAGTAAATCCTTGACCAATTCGAGTAAAATCAAGACACAAAGTGTCTTAACGTCCGTTCAAGAACTCCATTCCTGTGAGTAGCATACTGTACTGTAACAAAATCTGGTACGCTCAACAAAAACGCGGGAATCCGCTAAAAATCGGAGATTTCACACCCCTACTTACATCACACCGAATTCGTGACATACTTTAATTGATGAACCCGAATCATGATTCGATTAACCCTAACCTCCTAGGCTTGTTTTTGCTAGGATGCACCTTCGATCCTTGCAAATCCTCCAACTGCCTCCATAATTATGTAGCACCAAAAGTAATAATGACTGGAATACCAATTTCATAAACTACTTTCAGATGAAAACAATTACATGTACTTAAATTGCTAAATACATGTAATGACTGGAATTCATTTTGTCATTCCTTCAAAATATATCACCATTTAAACACAATGACCCTAAAACCTCTTTCGTCCAAAAATGCGATTTCAAGATTTGTCTTCAAATATTACCAGCGATAAAACCTCATTTCAAAAATTTAAACATATTCAACAAAGTCCTTTGAAGGCCCGTCTTTTGAAGAAAAATGGATTTTGTAAATCATAGCATTTGCCTAAGCAGGGTTGTCAATAAAGATATTGTATACTACAGTAATTGTTGTTGACAGTTGTTGAAACAAGTATTCCTTGTCATTTTCTTTGTCGTTCCAAACAGTCAGAACACACAACATTTTTTTTTGGGGGGGGGGACACGAAACAGGTTTTAGGGTCATTGCGTTTAAATGGTGATATTCTTTGAACGGATTGAGCAATTTCAGTAATTTTCTCATCTAAATACTTTCTGAAATTGGCTTTCCGATCATTATTATTTTTGGTGCTACATATTTGTTCAAATATAAAATATATTTTTGGGGGTTGGGGTTCCACTTCTTTTTTTACTCACCCTAAACTTCAGGTGAAAAGGTGAAAAGTTGAAATGAAAAAAGGTTTAAAGGAGTTGGTGCGTTCAGAGCACAATATTCTTTTTATTTTTAAAGTGAATTTTCATAAGGGAATAATAATCGGCGACGGACATTATCCAGGCTTTAAAAATACTTGTTTGAAACCGGCTCAGCACATATTTATTCCCATTCATAAATACCCTTTTCGCCAAAAAGTCAAATACCTCAATATGACAAATTCGAACAATAATATTTTGTGAAGCAAATTTACTTCATATTTTGTGAAACACTCCCCTGGCCATGTCTATGGTATTGTCCTCGCGCGCGTTGTGCAAAAAAAAAAAACCTCCTTAATATATGCAAATTACAGAACGCAGCTGTGTTTTACGGGCGGTTGAAAACACACACGTGACGGGCTTTCGACCAATAGGAATGGGTAAACTGTCTTGGGTATTTATGAATGATTATTTACACTTCTTAAAAGAGCGAGTTTAATCCTATCTATCCTACATTAGCAGCTTAAGAAATTGTCACCTTATTCCCGAGAAATGGGAACACATCATTTACTTTTACTTTTGAAGATTTTAATTCCGTTCTATAAATTCACGCGTTCACGTCGCTGATAAGAATAGACATATAATCGTTTTGAAATGTATAGGAGTAATGTTTTTTGTGCAGAGTTACATCGATAACGTCAGTCAAAATTGTTAAGGAGAATCTTGAAAGTTAAAGACGAGCTACGGGCTGATAATTAAAAACACGAACAATACATATTCCACGATTATATATCCTAGCGGTCGCAAGTATATAAAGCCCTTTGCTTTCACTTCCAAAAATCATTTCGAAAACTTCTATTAAAAAAGGAGAAAACACTTACAATATCATTGCGGGAATTGCAAACATGATTCAAAATGAAGGCATCAAGATTCATCAATGAATTTCTTGTGACAAAACAAGCAAGATTGTTATATCGTGTATTTGATACTGTCATTTCATTGCTCCAGAACGGCCACGTGTCCAGTCAATAACAATAACAGTTTATTTCATATACACTGCGTTTCATATACATGTACCTGATATACCGAGTTGCATATAACAATGTCAGGCAAGAAAGCTTGCAATCATCAAAAGTTAACACTGCAGTGTTTTATTTTAGTTCTTGCCTACTAGGTTACACATCTTTTTCTTTTCAACTTATTGGCACGATATAACAAAACAATTGTTGACTGCTGTGATGTGGGATAGAGCATATATAATCCTCTTGGGCACATATCACCATCGGCTTCGGCTCGTGTGTTATGCGCCCCTCGGGTGTTAAAAAGGTCATATCCCACATCACAGCAGTCAACAATTGTTAAATACGAGTTACCATTTAAAGATACAATATTCCTTGTTATAGTCACGCTCTGAAAACGAAAACGAATTATTGTACTGTGAATTGTACAAAACCGATTATAAACTTAACTATACTAAAATGAAACCAGGTTGCAAGTTAATCAAACTGATTACTACAAACCACTAACTGGTGAAAGTCTTCTTTTGTCCATGCCTGCGTTTCACACATTTAAACCAGATTGCTAGTTAATTAGTTGATTGTTTAAGTGGCACTTACAGGTTAAAACCTTTCATTCTACAAGTTTCGTTAGTTACACGACATGTAAACAGGATTGCAGGTAAATCAATTTCTCTGACTAGTTGAAGTATTTTAGTAATCAATCCATGTGCTTTACTAAGTTAAACCAAGCACGTTACATCAAACCGATTGATGGACTAGGTAAGTCTTCCTTAGTCCATGTCAGTGTCAAATGAATCCTCCTGAACAGACCAGGGCATGTCGAACAGAAGCGATGGTAGAGGAGTACAGTGAGTGGCGTCGAAGTCGGACATGTATTTGCCGGCCTTGAGAAAAAGAAACATGAATGAATAAATAAGTTTGTTATTTTTGTTTGTTTGTAAAGAAAATATAGGTGTGTGATATACAGGGCGAGTCACAAAAAAAAAAAAAAAAAAAAAACGGAACCCAAACCCCCAACAAATATATTTTATAAATCTAAAAATTAATGTGGCCTGACGTTGCGAACTTAGCAAGTTCTTCTTCAGAGGCTAAAACAGAAATGACAGAGGCACATACATTAACAAGGGGGTGCACACAAACATGCAGGGGTGAAAGAAGAAACACAAAAGGAGGATTAGGTGGGACAGGCGTGGAAAGATGCAGGGGAGGGTGGATGAGAGAACAAAGAAACAAAGGGAGATGGCAAACCACAAGGGGTCTGGTATGAACAGGGGAGGGACCAGAAAGGGGAAGGATCAAAGGTCACAGGGAGTGGGAACGGACAAAAGAGTGTGGGAGTGAAGGGGGATTATGCGGGGGGGGGAACAGTATGGAGGTGGAAAGGGATGAAAGATGGGGGAAGATGGGTAAACACAAACAATGAAGACCAGGTGGATTATCTGTAACAGAAGACAATGGAGGAAGAAAAAGATTAATCATTTCCAAGTTGGATGTTGAGACCATGTGGTTGAATAGTTCGAAGACGATTCATCCACACTTTCTCTCTGCTGAGGCGAACTGAGTCCTTGCGATGGCCAAGAGATTCAATGCCCTGCAAAATCATATCAGAAATGGAGTGGTTAGGCAGGTTGAAGTGGTGACCAACAGGGGTGTCTAGTTTCTTGGTGTTGACCGTTGACCGGTGGGCATAGAAACGCTTCTTGAGCGTATTCTTAGTCTCACCTACATACTGTACTCCACAGACCCTGCAAGAAATGAGATATATGACATTAGGGGTGTTACAAGTGATGTTACCAATGGTTCTGTGGGTAGTGACAGAAGAGTGGCCAGAAAAGGAGTCAGACTCCTGGATATGAATCTGGCAGACAACACATCTGGAACTGCACTTGAAAGTACCATGCTGGGTGGGAGGGGATGCATCTAAGGATGGGACTTCAGCTCGAACAATCAAGTCCCGTAGATTTCGAGGACGCCTGTAAGCCAATGTGGGGCCGTTGGGGATGGCGCGGGCAAGGCGATCTGAAGTATGGAGGATATGATGATTGTCATTAGTGATTTTACGAAGGGGAGGGAGATTGGGGTGAAACGTGGTGACCAAGGGAATCATGGGTTTGGCCATGGCATCAGGGGCCTTTCCCGTGAGAGCTAGATTTCTGGGGATAGCTTTAGCTCTGGCAATGGCACGATGAACTTGGCGAGAGCTGTGACCCCTGGCCACCAAGTTGTTCCTCAGTATCTGTGTATGGCGGGAGAAATCGGAATCATTAGAACAAATTCTTCTGAGTCTGAGTGCCTGGCTAAACGCTATGCCAGTTTTGCAGTGCCTGGGGTGACAGCTGGAGGAGTGGAGGTACTGGTGGGTGTCTGTGGGTTTGGAATACAGGTCAGTGGTTAGTGAGTTGCCTTGTTTGCGGACGGTGACATCCAGAAAGTGGGTTTGGTGAGCCGAGAACTCCGATGTGAATTTTTTATATTAAAAAAAATATGTAGCACCCAAAAAAAATAATGTCTGGAAAGCCAATTTCATAAGCTACTTTTAGATGAAAAAAAAATACCGAAATTGCTTAATCCGTTCAAGGAGTATCACCATTTAAACACAATGACCCTTAAACCTCTTTCGTCCAAAAATGTGATTTCAAGAATCGTCGTCACATTTGTCTTCAAACACCATCATCGATAAAACCTCAGTTTAAAAGTTAAAAATATTCACAAAGTCCTTTTGAAGGCCCGTCTTAAAAAAAAATGGATTTTATAAATCATACCGTTTGCCTAACCAGGGTTGTTAATAAAGATATTGTGTACTACAGTTGTTGACAGTTGTTGAAACAAGTATTCTGTGTCATTTTCTTTGTTGTTCCAAACAGACAAAATAAGTTGCTTTTTTTGGATGAAACAGATTTTAAGGTCATTGCGTTTAAATGGTGATATTCTTTGAACGGATTGAGCAATTTCAGTAATTTGTTCATCTTAAAGAGGCTTATGAAATTGGCTTGCCAGTCATTATTATTTTCGGTGCAACATATTTTTTTGAATATGAAATACATTTTGGGGGGTTTAGGTTCCGCTTTTTTGACTCACCCTTTTTAATAAGTTTAGTATCTTCGAGTGTCTTTCGCAAGTAAAAAGATGCATGTTTCATACTGAACGAGTTATGGTTAGGGGAAGAATTTCATACATGGACATCACTAAGTTTTCCATGGAGTAACCTCCATGTATCAGCCATCAGAAGGCGATAACATGTCCTAAAAAGTCAAATTTAACAGGGAAAACATTGAAGCATTTACTGAAAAAAAACCAGGAATTTTTCAGACCAGTCTCATAGGGTTTGTGCATAGGGTGTCAAGGACCAGGGTATGGAACTCTTTCCATGGTTAATTTTTGTAGCACAAGATCACAACACGATTAAGAAATGTTTATACCTAAAAAGGTCTAGAAATTTCGACACATCTTCCAAGAGGCGGTGATAAGACTTTCATAAAGTGTTTAAAAGAGATAAAACATATAGGTTGGTTTGTCTTAGTTGTAACTGAACATTGCCAGGATGTTTGCTTCAAGTGCACGTAGCACAAGTGCACAACACGATGAAGAAATGTTTATACCTAAAAAGGTCGAGAAGGTTTTCGCCACATCTTCCAAGAGGCGGTGATAAGACTTTCATAAAGTGTTTGAAAGAGATAAAACATATAGCTTGGCTTGTCTTAGTTGTGACTGAACATTGCCAGGATGTTTGCTTCACACAGAATGGTTTACCGCTGCTATGTGTTCCATCGATAACTAATTACTTAAAGTTGCATTCCTTGGGCTCTTCAACAAATTCGATTTTTCCCTGTTAATAAATCTGTTAAAAAACCTCAAGTTTTACTTTTTTTTGTACGTCTGCAACCCTCTGAAAAAAAAGCTTTTTGTTTTGAGCGCAACCAGAACCAATCTGCGATCTACTCTGCGAGACTGGCTCCCACTCCGTACGTTATCGATACTGAATGTGGGGTGGGAACCAGCCTTCCCCGCGAGATCGGAATGATTGTCTGGCAGCCAATAATTCGAAACAGTAAAGTAATAATTCAGTAACTTAACATGGGCGGATTGTTTCGGTCGACGATGTCTCATTCAAAAATGAATAACTTTTGGGTTTTTTTATGGATAAATAGCAATTTAGAAAAGGAATCTATTTTCCGGTATGATACTCGAAAATAGCAAGGGGGAACGCAACTTTAACTCTCAAGAACGCCACAGTCATGGATGACAAAGGACGAATCTTGCCATGCACTGAAGCAGGCCAACTAACAAAAAAGGAAGTTTAAGCTTTATCTTTTGAACATGCTGGAGCTCAATCATTCGTTTCTACAGTGAGGCGAGGCTGCATTCAAATCTCTTGCCTAGAGCTGCGTCTAGGTAGTAAACAAATACATCTACAATGTACACGTTCTTCAGCACATCGTCACACTAACAGATATAGCCGTAGCTCTGAACACAAGTGTCGGACACGAACCAAGTACGATATTAAATAGAAAGCTGATAAACTAGTTATGCACATGCGTCCATACCAAAAGTGCTTCACAGCCTTATATATACAAGCCAAATATGGTTGGAGCATCATCTTTATAGACCTACACCCGGTGCATTATCTTACAGGAAAGGCTAACTATGGTAGGCATCCTATGGGATCCGATACAAGAACCTTTACAGACAACTACGAAAAAAATCCAATATAACACCTGTAGGGCAATTTGTAATGAAAGTTGAATAAAGCACGGGGAAAAAAGACAACGAAAGATAGATATGTATAACTGGAGTGGGACTGATCAAGTCGAACAAAAGAACGGGACACAAGTTGTGCGGGGGGTGTAGGCCTAATCCCTACGTCCGGGTGATGGAATTAAAGGTTTTTAGCGGTACCTTCCTACATCTTGCGCCGATTGTAACCTTAACAGGGTATCAGAAATACTAGAAACAAAGAACAAAAGTAGGGAAGTAAACGGCTACAATGGCGGTACCCCTAACTTCCCATATGTATAGACTATGTATAGATTGCGGTTTTACGTACACATGTATAAGGTAATGCTCCCACACTTTAAATTGACATCTGTCAAAGAATTCTTTGCTGCATTGGGATAAAGTAATGCAATTTACTTTCAAGTGACGTTAGTACAACGGAGAAGTATAGAAATGAAATTATATTTCTCTTGTCTTGCGGCTGGCCTTTCTAACCATATCAAATTCTGGCAACATTAGTAACCACAGCAACACGGGTCTATTTTGTCTCCCCACAGTTATCCATATGACTTATGCTGGTACCACAAAATGTTCGTTCGTGGTTGTAATTTAATATGATGGTTACATGTGTCCACCCATGAACGCATTAGGGACTCCAGAGAACAGAGCCCTTTCCAGTCTATTAGGAATTCAAGGTCACTAATAAAAATTGTATGCACATATGTAATGCAATTAGCAATTCTGATTCTGACTCAACTCCATCGGGTGATCATCTGCTTTGCATGATATTTCATGTCCACCATATTGAAAATATTTCAAGAAGCCTATCATTATGGAGTTCCAAGTACACACGTATATACACTTTCCCACCACGCAAATTGGGGAAATTGAGATGGTTTAAAAGCATCAAGGCATAAACATGATAAATATCAATCGAATCAGTATTCAAACAGCTCTTTGGTCGGAATATGAAACCACTTCATTACTTCACACAAAATCACTGCACATATGACTGACATGTTACTGCGTCCTGGAACAGCCCGATTGGGCTACAGTACAAAACGCGCTTTGAACGAAATGATGTTAATCGGAAAGAACATTTAAAAGTAGGATATAAACATCCACACAACTATCCTTTAAAAACTGGGCGTATGCGTTATTCCTGTATTTT